CGTGCAGAAGCCACCATGGCATCAGCTGACTTACTCCCTGATGTCTTGACATCTGTGCAGAGTCAGTCAAGTATTCTGAGGTGGGAGAGGAGGCAGGGCCACTCAGCAGCCTGTTTAGACCAGGGAAGCAATTTTCTGATGCTAGGTCTGGATTTAATTTCAGGATACGAGATACCTCTTTCTGTGGCTCGCAGCGGGGCTGTAAGTTCATTTTCAAAGGTGGACACCAGGGCCCTCCCTCGTCAGCTGTATTGCACAGACGACTTTTCTGTTTCCCTTGTTTATACAGTTTCTTGCACTGAAGGTTAGTTCTAGGGAACCAAAAGCCACTCACTTATTTGGGGACGACCAGACTTTTATCTGCTGAATACTACTTGGTTTTAACACTTAGTGGTTAAAAAGAAAAATCAGTTTTAAATGTTCCTGCTGGAATTCTCTACTCACTCTCTAGAAATGTTTGTCATCTGATACATGTCCCTAAGGAAAAAGTTAACCTTTTACTTTATACTGAAGTGGGGCAGAGAAAAGCAAGCATTATAAATGCCTTTCAGCAGGACTGCTAGTTGATACTTGATTTCAGCAGCAGAGATTGTGCTTAATTGCTGAGCAGTGGCAGGAATTCCATGCAAAATGCAGCTAGGGCTGGGTGCTTTGAAACTGAAACCAGAGGCCATGAGGGGCTGCTGGTAGGAGCTTTACCCTCCCAGGTGCAGGGGATCCATGGAGCTTCAGATATCTGCTTTATCCTGTTTCTTTGATCCCACTGCTGGCCCGAGGCTGGGATTATAGGGAGCAGCTCCAGAAAGAAGAGATGCGAGCCTGTGGGGCCGGGAGGGAGGCAGCAGGGAATGACAAATCCAGGTCCGAGGCCTGGGATGGCACTGCCACAGACAGGGGCAGATCGGCCCTGCTGGTGGAAGTGAGCCGGGCTTTGCACCCCACTGGGCACGCGGGAGGGACACAGGTTTAAGGTTTCAGGCCCGGTGGCAGGACTGCTGGCTGGAGAGAGTGGCAGGGAGGGTGTGTGTGAGCAGGTGTGGTTCTGGAACTTACCCAGGTGGGAAAGATGCCCAGACCTTCTTCCAGACTGCCAGACTGCCAGTGCGGGAGGCTTCCCTGCTGGGAGTCAGGGTGCTGGCTGCCCAAACCAGGTCCATCCCTGCAACCTGCTGTCCAAGTGTGCCACTTTGCCAATGCCCATTCAGGAGCTTGTGCCATTTAAAACCGAGCTTTATACAGGTGCCAACAAACCCACCTCCTGAGCATAAATGATACTGATGGAGGAGAATGAAACTCCCAACCTGCTAGATGTCCCAGTATGAGTTGGTGCTCTCTAAAATCAAAGAATGAACTTTAGGAAGAGTGGAGGTTAAGAGCAGAATATATTTACTAGAGAAAGAAAGCTTCTGTCTGAGAGAGACAGAAGGAGTCCTGAGTGGGTTGCTCTGCCTTTTTCAGAACTTTATAAAGTAAAACCACGAGGTGAGTTGGGGATAGGAACTCCTGAGGTGGGCATAAGCATGTGACACAACTGTGGTCAGCCAATAAGATTAACTGCTCAGGTAAAATTGATTAAGTTAGGAACAAATAGGGGAGCAAGTCACATAGTAAGCAGGCATGCTTACCAGCAGAGACTTTCCCTGTAGGGAGCTGGGATGGTGACTCCTGACTTCCTCAGGGTTAGAGAGAACTAATATTTAGATTGTCAGTCCTTAGGAGGTGAGTGTATTTGCTTTGCCTTTTGTCTTGAGAGCTGGCCCGTGGCAGGAGATGTGTGTTTCCTCCAAGATTGCAAGGCATCTGAATTTCTGTACTGGCTCCTTTCAGGGCTCTGCCCTGTCTGCCTGCTTGTAATATTTCTAACTAAGCTGCCTGTGACAATACTGCCTTTGACCTTACAACCTTCCCCTTTTGAAGAATGAAAAAGATATTCCTATTCAACATGTGGAGCCCGTGTGTGTGTGTATGTGTGTGTGTGTGTGTGTGTGTGTGTGTGTGTATGTGTGTGTGTTTTCTTGGTGATGAATTTCTCTTAGAATTTAATGCCAAGAGATTTCTCATTTCTGGGCTGGGGATGCAGCCAGTGGTTATGTGTTTGCTTCGCGTGCATGTGGTCCTGGATTCACCCTCCAAAACTGAAAAATAAAACGGTTTCTCATTTCCCAGGAGATAATCTCATCTCCCTGCAGAGGACACATATATCATATCATTTCCCTCTTTGCCTTAGGTCTGGAATATTTGAAATTAATTGTACATGCCCAAGACTATATATAGCTAGTTAAACTCAAGTTTCTGGCAGAATTTTTTCTTTTTCAATTCCCGGTACCAAAAAAAAAAAAAAAAAAAAAAAATTCTGTTTTTTTGTCCCTACAGGAAATTGTTTTAATAGTTTACTTCCAGCAGAATTGAGTTATGTGTTGTATATATGACTTCATGTAATCCCCACATTGATTAATATCTTCCTCATTTTACGGAAACAGAAACTGAGCAGCAAGTTTAGAGGAAGCTGAGGTCTTCTGAATTGTTGGTGACCAGATCTGGATTTGAACCCAGCTCTCCCATTTCCAAGCCTAGACTTGCTCAAGGGTGCCTCCTGGCCTCTGAATCCACAATATTCCCCATCTCCTCCTCCCAAGCACCATGTGTTAATTATGCGTCATCCACAGAAAGGTACAAGTCAATTCTGGATGAAAGAAAGTATGGCTAGAAGCTTTGGGGAAGGTGGACTGGTATTAGGAAATGCAGGGGGCCCTGCAGAGGTCGTGGAATTGAGCTGGCGAGTTGTGATTGCAGGTTTATTCCACTCGCAGTCTGCCGGGATGAGAAGCCCAAGGTGTTTCTGCCTGTCCGAATCCTTCCTCTTGTGCACCCTTCCCCCACTGTAACCTGGCATCCAAAGGACACCGTTTGCCTGATCCGAGCCAGAGACCCACGGCAGCAGGCCAGAGCTCATTCTGGAAGAAATCGTGAACATTCTTCTGTTTGAGTCAGACTCTGCTGGGTTTTAAAAATAGGCTATGACCAGCCAGCAACTCAAACATCAGTGTTGAGGCAAACTGGAATAATAGACGTAAAAACAAGTCAGGCAGGCTTGGCGGTGCCATTGTGGATACAAATAGTAATTATAATAATTGTACTTCATGTGTGCAAGCCTTTGTCACCATGGAGCACTTCATTCCCACCAACTGCACGCAGTTTCAATCCGTGCAGTGGGCGCTGTTGCTACTTGCATTTCCCGTGTAAAGAAACTGGCTCTTGTTACACCCCTAATGGAGGGACAGAGCTGCAGCTTGAATTAAAATCTTTTGATCACTGGATTCTTCCTGGTCTGGCTCACAAAACGTGCCTATCTGCAGTGGGAGAAGAGCATAGAGGACTGAGTCCTGTGTCCTGCAGGAGCACTGAAGCCTTCCCTTGCTGGCTGTCAGCTGGAGGCTGATGATTGGCTTCTCAGAGTTGTGGCTGTGGCCAATCAGGAGCAGAGCTGTTGCTCAGAGCAAGACCACTTTGGCTGTTGCAACTCTGAACAGAAGGAGAAGATAGCACATGGACAGTACTGCTCTGGGTGAACAGTGTGTGTGTTGGTTCAGAAGCAGCTCGTAAGCCTAGGGTGGACTGAATTGTGTGGCGTGAACTGATGTTGGTTCTAATTGATTTACTCATAGAAATCATGAAATGATTTAGGAAGCATTATCCCACGTGGGTCTCCGAGCAATTGAGCTGCCCTGACTTGGGCTCCTCATCTGTGGGCTTTTCTTATTACAGAGCCAGAAATCATGTTCTTTCTCTTTGTGATGAGGGTGGGGCATGGGACTCGAACTCAGGGCCTCACGCTTGCCAGGCAGGCGCGGTACCACTGAGCTCCTTCCCCAGCCCCACATTCTCTTTCTTGTACCTGGTAGAGAAATCTATTTTTCTCTTTCTCTTCTTTCATTTTTTAAAACTGAAACTAAAATTTCCACTCTGTCTTCCTGTATTTAATTTTACACATTTTTTTTTCTCTTTGGAGGTACTGAGTGTTGAACCCAGGGCCTTCACACTGAGCTACAGCCTCAGCCCTTTCATTTTTTATTCCAAGACAGGGTCTCACTAAGTGGCTAACGTACCCAGGCTGAGCTCAGACTTGTGACGCTGCTGCCTTAGTCTCAGAGTGCTGGGGTTTCAAATGCATGCCACCGTGCCCAGCTGATACTTGTAGTCTCTGATGAGAATGCGTTGTGTTTATGATGTCCCCAAGTCCAGTGTCCCCACAGACGACATACTGTTGACTGATGAATGGCTGAAGAGATGTAAGTAGACAGTTCAAATAGCACAGGTCCAGCTACTGTTTTCTTTGGGGTATTTTAGGTAACTGTTGTTGCCACCCACCCTTCCTTTACTTGTATGGCTGTCTCTTCCCTACCTGGTCCTCACTCATGTCCAAACCCCACCCTGTCCGGGTAGTGGGGACCGAACCCACAGCCTTTGCACCCAGCTACATCTCTAGCCCTTTTTAAGAGACTAAGTTGCTTCTGCTGAGTTCTTGTCATTCTTCTGCCTCAGCCTCCCAGAGCGCTAGGAGTATAGGCGTGTACCCTCACACCTGCCCGTGCTCTGTTTTGTTAATTCCTTCCTTGCTGGGCGATTTCATGCTGGGCGACTTCGTACCCCATTCCCCTCTGCTCTGAGTCTTGCTCTGCCTGTGGCTGATGGGCTGCTCCGGGCCCACTGAGCTTGCTGGAGTTGTCTGGCTCATTGTCCACCAACTGCCCCGAGGGTCTTGCTGCGAGAAAACCTTAGTGGAGGAGCCTAGTGGTTTGCAAGACTGAAACAAGTGATTGGGCAGAAGAACCCAGGACTTCCCCCTCAGCAACCCATTCCTTTAGGCCCTCCGCTTCCAAGGAAACATTTTCCGTAGGAGGCAGGAAAGTAAGATGTGGAGCGGCTTCAAGGCAGAGTCCCTCATTTCTGTCCCGCAGGATATGGGGTGTCTAACGTGTATGGCCTCTCTGTCGGCACAGGTGACCAGGCCACCTTCCGGCTGCAGGTCCGCCAAGTGGAAGACTACCCTGTGGACCTGTACTACCTGATGGACCTCTCCCTGTCCATGAAGGATGACCTGGAAAATATTCGAAGCCTAGGCACTGCGCTTGCCGAGGAAATGAGGAAGCTTACCAGCAACTTCCGCTTGGGTTTTGGATCTTTTGTGGACAAAAATATCTCTCCTTTCTCCTACACAGCACCGAGGTACCAGACCAATCCATGCACTGGGTAAGTCGCTGCTGTCTCTCTGTTGGGTACCTCAGGTTAGGAGGATGGAGCAGTGGGGAAACAGCCTGAAGGAAGGAGAGGGAAGGGGTGGCCAGCCTGTGTATTTAACCTGATTAATGATGGCTGTACATGTGGGAAGAAGTAAACCTGACACAAAATTGCATGAAGTTGTAATGATCATACCACACTTACCTTCCTGCCCACCCCACACAGTCCTGTTTTCTCCGTTAATAGAACTTAAATAGAATATCCACAGAGAATCCTGGACCCAGGGGTTCAGGGAAGAGACCAGGCTGGACAACTTGTACTTTGTCTATGTTTGGAGTGACTAAGATGCTTGGAGATAAATTCAAAGTTTGTGCCTATTGTTTATACAGATAACTTGTAATTTACCTTGATGAAACTGAGATGTTTTAAGGTATGGATTTTTGTCAACATTAAGTCAAGTACCTGGATTAGAAAGTATTTGACAAATTATTAGAGAACAGAAGTTCTCATGTGATGCACAAAACAAATCCCCAAGTGTATGACAAACTTGCTAGAAGTGAGTTTCTTGGTTACTTGAGTCCAGTGGGCTCTTCTGCCTGGTGGACATCTCTCCATGTGGTGACTCAGGAACACAGGTTCCTCCCATCTTTCAGGCTTTGCCATCTTTCCCTCATGGCTTCAAGGTTATCCTGCCTGGAGGACTGGACATCCCAGGATATGGTGGGCCTGGTCTGCCATTCTGCTGGACAGAAGTGAATTCCAGCAAGAAACTGGACACTAGTGTAGCTCCATGCCCAGGAATAAGAGTAAATGAAGCCAGGCATGGTGGTGCACACCTGTAATCCCAACACTCAGGAGGCTGAGGAAGGATAGTTGTTACAAGTTTGAGACCAGCCTGGGCTACAGAGTGAGCTCAAGTCCAGTCTGAACTGCATAGCAAGACCCTGTCTCAAAAAACCAAAAAAGACCAAAAAAAAAAAAAAAAAAAAGAGGAATTGGGCCTGGTGAACAGGTAGGTCTCTGCTGTGAGTGTTTTGGGGAGCACTTTCACCAGGCCCAGGCCCTTCACACAGCCTCTGGTAGGTGTTTCAGTTGTTCCTTTAAATGTCAGAATTATGAAACATAACTGATAGCTTCCTCCTTTTTCCTGCCTCATCTCACATCTCAATTTTAATGAGACTTTGGGATCTAAGGCACCATTATGGCCACTAGATGATGAATCACTAAGAGTTAACGTTTATTTTCAAGCATCATACCAAATACTTTATAAGAATTATCTCATTTAGTATCTTACCAGCCTCTTCAAGGTAGGCATAAGCCAGATATTAAGGGGAGAAAACTGAGGCTTGGAGAAAATAAATAACTTATCTATGGTACACAAGCAAGTCCAGGTAGACTGCTTTAGAGCCTACGTTCCCATTAATACAGTGCCGTGTTCCCGTCTACCCCAGACACTCTACCCACGCCAAACCACCTCACACCCTCTGTGGGCCTTTCTGTGCTGCCATAAGCAGCTGTCCCCAAGTCTCCATGGCCCAACACACTAAGAGTTTTTCTTGCTTGTGCAATCTCTGACGAAGGCTGAGCAGCTCTTCGAGGCAGCTCTCCTACAAGTGATGACTCAACATCCAGCCTTTCTCAAGTTGTGATATCTCTTCCAACCCTAAGTCTCCTGCGGCCAAGAGGAAGGGAGTTGTCTGTAAGGCTCCAGGCTGCCTCTCCCTGAAGCTCATCTTTGGCAGCCTCAGTGACTCCCAGGTCCGAGCGAGGCTGGGGTTGAGGGATGTGCTGCTGGCCTGTGTTCTTCTGAATCTTCCTGGTTCTTTCCTGGTCTTAGATCTTCCAAGGGGCCGGGAACCATCCCAACAATGGAAATCAGTAAGACAAAGAAATGTTTGAATACAAATGAGATTCTTAAGTTCTTTAAGTCTCAAGAGCTACTAGGTGTCATCATGTGCTGGTTTAGCGTTTCCCAGACATGGTGGGCCACCGGCATGAAAAGTCCCGTCTCCTAAGGCCAAAGATCTGTCCTCTTGCTGGAGTTTGTTACTTACCTGGAGCAGTAGCATTGTAACCAAAGCTTCTTTTCCATTCTTCTGGGAACAGCAATTTCATCTGCTTCTTCCCCTCGGCTCTGACTGGGCGTACTTCACAGGCAGACAGAGTGTGACTCAGCACAAAGATGCCAGGTCAGAGTAGGCAGAGGATGAAAGCGTGGCCAGGGCTGCTCAGCGTGTGAATATTCAAGGCTGTCCCACATTGTTTATTTAGAGCTGCCTCTCTGTGCTCTCTCAGCAGATGCAGCTGCAGACTGTGAGTACTGTACAAGGCATGCTGCAAACCTGCTTTCGAGACAGGAAATCTCAGGGAGAATGGGAGTTCTGAGAGAAACAAAGTCTGAGTTATAGAAATCGCTCTTCTAAGCTGGGCAGTGCAATAGGGAATTGCTGTGTAGCTCAGTGAATAGTCCACATGTTCTCTGCTCGCATCCAGCCATGTGGCATCCAATAGTGTTAGTCCCTACAGAATAGCACAAGCCTGGCCTGCAATCTGGTGGTTCTGGTACCTGATCCAGTCTGAACATGGGCTTTTTTTGCCTTTTTTGTTTTAATGCTACTGTGAATTAACTACCAACATCAGTGGTGGTGGGGGGAACCCAACCACAAATAGCTAGAATTTCTAAGTTTTAGGTTTATTTGTTTTGAGACAGGGTCTTACTGTGTAGTTCAGGCTGGCTTCAAAATCCTGGTGATCCACCTGTCTCAGCCTCCTGAGTGCTAGGATTACAGGCTTATGCCACCACACCCAGCTTGGTTTTCTTAACCCAGGAGGTATGCAAAAGCTGGGCTTGTACCTTGGTCCCCACCTGTCTTGGTTACTTTTTTCTTGTGTCTGGGACAAAATACACGACACCCAAAATGAAGGAAGGAAAAGTTTATTTAGTATACAATTTGTGGAGGTTTCAGTCTACACTCAGCTAGCTGTAAGGCAGGGTGACATGGCACAGGGGCAGCCGTTCATGGCAGTGGCAGTTACCAAAGGCAATGAGAGCAAAAAAGGAAAAGCATGCCTCCTTCCCTCCCTTGTGTTGTATGCTGGTTACCTGCCCTGGTTAGGTGCAGCACTCACATGGCCAATCCCAACTGTAGACAACAAACCAGTCACAAATGCTGGATTCAGCTGCCTGTATGACTACATGTGGCTTTGGGGGACATCCAGACATAAACCATAACATTCTATCCCTGGCCCTGCAAGGACTCAGGCACTTTCTTTATGCAAAAGACATTTATTTACCCTATCTCCAAGAGTCGCCAAAGTACTGTCAGTTTCAGCATTGCTGAAAAGCCCAAGTCTCCTCCAAGATCTAAGGCAATCTCTTATCTTTGAGCCCCTGCACAAATGAAAACAAAGTTAAACGCTTCCAACATTCAGTGGCACAAAATAAACATTACCATTCCAAAGGGTGCAAACAGGGATACAAAGGAATGGGACCAGAGGACGTCCAAAATCCAGCAGAGCAAACATTAAGTCCCAGAGTTCCATGTTCAGCATCTCAAGTAATCTGGTTGTGAGCTCCAGAATGCTAAAGTGACCCTATCCTTGCAGCACTTCTAGTGGTTGTAGTTCCCATGGCTTCTCTTTTAGGCCCACTCTGCTGAATCCTTGCAGCTCTCCTTAGATGATCCACATGCTTGGCTTTTTCAAACTTCTGGAGTCTCCACTGCAGTTTGGCTTCGTCTTCATAGCTTCACATTCTGCCCTCTCAGGAGCACTGCCTGCCTCCCAGGCCTTCGGAAATTAGGGTAGAAGCCCTTTTTACCTCAGAACTCTTGCATTCCGTGTGCACCTAAAACCAGCACCGCATGAGTGATGCTGAGATCCACTGCCAGTAGGAGTAGTAGCCAGGATTTCCTCTCTTGTGGTTGTGGGGATTGAGTGCCTAGATTGCTAAGCACTGTCAACTTAACTCTAAGGAGCAAACTTTATGCCATTGCCATTTTGGAACCTCATCTGGCCTCCACCACCATTCTGAAACATGATGCTCTGAGGCTTTCTCCTCACAGCAAAATCTTCCACTTTTGCAGTCTTGAGGCTGCAAAGGGTAGTGACCCAGTGCTTCCTGTGATGTCCCCAGGCTATCTTTTCTATTCTTTTGTTCCTTCTCAACAATTGAAATCTCAGCACTCCCTTGCAGTCCACAGCTGTACTGGAGGCTTTTTCCTGACCAAATGCACTGTATTTTAAATCATCCTGCTGGGCTCTTTACTTTTGATTTGCAACATGAATCTGGCTGAAAACCCTCAGCAACAGCTGTGCCACTGCTCCAGCGTTAGACCGCCTTGAAATTTCTTTTGCCATATTAATTAGTCCACACCCTTAATCTCAGTTGCAGGCAAAGTCTCTGGACATGAGCAAAATACAGACAGACTTTCTGCCAAGCCTTAGCACTCATTGTCCGGAGTCCCAACAACCAGTGCAGTCCTTCTTCCCAGCTCTTGAGCCTGGTCTTTACCAGCAGAACTTCTATCAGCCTTCTGGTCTCCTGAGCTCTGACCAGGATTTCCTGTACAGAACAGCCTAAGGCATTCCAGCTCTACTCTTTCACGTGACATCTCCAAACCTTTCCAAACTCTTCCCACGACCCATTCCCAGTGGCTCTTGAACCACATGGTCAGGTATAATCACAGTAACGACCCCAGTTCACTGGTATCAAATTCTTCCTTGGTTACTTTTTTTGGTTGCTGGGACAAAATACCTGATGACCAAAATTAAGGAAGAAAAGGTTTTTTTAGTTCACAGTTTGAAGTTTCATTCTGTACTCTGCTGGTTCCAAGACAGAGTGGCATGGCTAAGGAGCAGCCATTCATAGTGGCAGCAGGTACCAAAGGTGACAGGAGCAAAAAGGACAAAAAGGAAAAGAATGCCTCCTTCCCTCCCTTGTGTTGTATGCCGGTTACTCACCCCTGGGTGGGTGCAGCACTTACACTGCCAATCCCAACACTAGACAATGAGCCAATCACAAATGCTAGAGTCAGCTGCCTCTGTGACTGCATGAGGCTTTGGGGAGATATCCAAACACAAGCCATAACACCACGTCTCCCTTTTGTCTTGCAGCCGACCCATTTCACATGGTTGATCTTTGCTTGGAATCCTTGGCTGACTATTGTTATCCCCCAGCTCATGTGGAAAAGAAAATCAGAGTCCCTCCAAGCTCCAGTGGAGCTTTGGTTAGATGTTTCTCTCCCGTGGTTTCTGGGCAGATGAGACAGTCAAGAAATGATTTAACCACCCCTGCAGGACACCCGAGAGAAGGACACCCAGTTGGTTTGAGACTTTTTGAGGTTTATTCCTCCTGCCTGTGCTCCAGATATTTCCACTGAGGGATCAAAACTCTGGACACATCTCTTCAGAATTGCCACATCTGCAGTAAGATGTACCAGAGCCACTACAAAAGAAAAAAAGCAGAGAGTGACTTAAGCTTCAGATGAAAGCACTGTTTTAAGTGCTATTCTAATGGAGATAGTTCCTCTGGGAAGAATCACCTGATACGCATGGATGCAGGATTTATTTCTAATTCTGAATACTTTTTCTTTGACACAGGTATTGGGCTGCTATTAAATGTAGCCCATGTGTGAATATTTGCAAGTTAGCTAGTAGTAGATTTCCTCCTTCATTATTTCCATTTTTTTCTTGTCATGTTTGTATTTCTCCTAAGTAGAAGTCATGTGACTCCTTCACACTTGCAGGGCCGTTCCACTGTCTTCTAGTATCTAGATGACTGACGGGTGATCTGCTGTTTGTCAAATGCTGTGCTTCTTTCTTGTGGCTTTAAATATGTTCTGTAATGATATGCACTCTTGTGTGACCGTATTGCATTTCCCTTATTTCCATTGCTCAGAATTTCACTTGTTTCATCCGAGAGGACACCTTTGTTCTCACCTCTCTGCTGCTTGTTCTCTTCGTCCCTCCACTGCTAGGTGTTCCTTAGAGCTTCTCATTCTGAATTTCAGTGTCTTAATGTTTCTCCCATACTTTTTTACTTCTTTTCATTTTCTGTCTTAACTACACAATAGGAAATGTCTTCCGGTTTACCATTTTGTTCTTAAGTTTCAGTTTAATGCATTTACTAAAATTTCACTCTTGAAAATGAATGGCAATATTTTTTATTTTTGTAATTTTTATTTGGTTCTTTTTCAGATTCTTCTGTAGTTAATACTTTTTTTAAAGGTCCTTCCAATTTTTGTTTTGTTTTTCTAATAGTATGCTATCTGGCGTTTGATTTGTGGTCCTTCCTCTTTTTGGATGTCTTGAATATCCCTGTTTTAAAGAGTTTGGGGACATTGTGTTTTTTTCTGTTTCTTGGATTGTGGCACCTTTGGCATGTTAGATTTGCTGACTTTCTTTGGTGGTGGTTTGTTCCTCATGGAATTTATAACTTTTCATTAGCTCATCTTAATAAGAGGCCATTTTCCATCTGAGGACCATATGCCCTATACATTTTGGCTTCCTGTGGAGCGGTTTTAAGCTTGCTGATGCCAGGAACCCTCAGTGCTCTCTGTGGGACTGGTTTCTCTCTTAGTGTCTCAGCTGGGGGTTCCTTCACCGAAAGTCATGAGTTCTGATTGCTCAGGCCTGGTGTTCTAGTTTCTTAGGAGTGATGCTTTTTGCTGGAATGGGCGGTGAGCTTCCCTGACTCCTTTCCAGGCCTGTGGCTTGGAGATTTGCTGTCTCTGGTGGTTTAGTGTTCGGCAGCTCTTTGCAGCACTCATCTGTTTGCAGACAGCTGGGCTCCATGGCGTGGCCTTGTGCAGGCCCAGGCCTTGCATAAGATCGCAGTAGAGTCCTTTCCTGAGCCCGGAGGCCTCTGTCCTACCTTTGGAGCTCCTTGGCATAAGGTCTTCTTACCTCCTACCTTGTTCCTCAGTTCATTCATTCAAACAACCACTTAAGTATCCATTTGTTGAATGCTTTCCTCTTCATTTTTGGTAGTTGGAATTTCCCTTGTAAGCATTCAATCTTCGGTATTAAAATTTTTTAAATTATATTTTATTCAGAACTTCCCTATGGTTAGAGTAAGAAGGGAGCCATTCCATGTCACCCCAATCGCAATCTTGTTCTGAACATTACATTGTTTCCGGGGTTTGCCTACATCTGGTGTCTTCAGATTGAATTTGCTTCACATACAATCCTGCAGCTCCTTATACCCTTTCTCTTTTTCCTTTTCCTGGTTAATAATATTTAGTTTAGTAGCTCCCTTCAAATGCTCTGAACTGGATCCTGTCTCACAAACACCCCAAGGTGGGGATAGTTCCCTGCAAGAGACGCCCAAAACAACCAGATCCCTTGGCCATTTACAGAGCAGTTCCAGGGATGAAGCCAGGTAACTGGCCAGAGGTGACATCCCATTCCCGTAATAGCCGAGACGTTCCCGGGGTCTGTGTGGCAAAGCTGATCTCAGTAAGAGGCACTTGTGATTTTGGTTCTAGTAAACTCCCTACAATCCAGGCTTCTCTTTGGCAAGCACATTTTCTTCTCCTGATTAACAATGATCCTCCGTATTAAAAATGTATCTACAGGAGTGAAAAGGAAGAGTAAAAGAAATGCAGAGCTTAGCTGCATTTCTCACTGTGTTTCTGGCTTTCTCATTTAATCGCCACTGCTGAGTTTCTTTTTCTGCTTTGCACAATTCACCTGCATGAACACACAGTTGTGACAGTGAACACACCTGAAGTCCTGCATCATGGACCAGAGCTGCTCAGGTTGTGGGGGAGCTTGGAGGAAGACAGTGATGTGTTTCCTTCCTTTTGGTCTGTCCGTGTATCGGGTAGCTACAGGTGGGACCTCCATTTCTTCTTCCGGTGGGAATGTAATTTCCACTACTGTTCTTTATGACAGAATGAGGAGGTTGCGAAAAGTCTGGGTGGCCTGAGGCAGGGCTTAAAAAGAGCCTGAGTGGCCCAAGCACAAGGTTTCATGCAGATGGGGGAAGGAGAGGGGAGACACAGAGCTGATAGCTGCGAGGGTCTGCACTGTGCTGTGACTGCAGTGAATGGAGCGGGACCTGCAGCCTGGCAGGGAGGACACAACCAGGCACTGCCTTCCTTCCGACAGGGGCAGCTGCCCAGACCTGCCCTGGTGAGGCTCATCTTGGCAGCAGTGAAGGCAGAGTCCTCCAAACCTTTGCTAAGCCTGTTTCCCTTCCTATGCACAAGGCTCTGCTTCCATCTTTTGTTCTAAAAGAGACTTCTTTGCATAGACACATCCCCTGCATATGCGAGCCAGGCAGCCTGCTCAGCTGTGTCACTCTTTCCCCTCTGTGTACAGCACCCTGGCCTTGCTCAGTCTCTTTCCTGCCCCAGGACTCGAGTACACGATTTCTAACTGCCCTGCGCCTCTTTCCCCCTTTATCTTATGAGCCCATTTATAATGTAATAAGACCACCGTCCTATTTCACCAGTTATCCATCAGGCCGAAGCCCCTAGAACTCTGTCACTGGGAGTGAGCTTCCTCCAGGAGTGGGTGAAAGTTCCTCTCAGTGGTTTCTTCAGCAGACTGAAGAGAAAACCACTCAATATTTTAGAAGAAAGGCTTGAAATTAACTTAAAGAGTATTGACATGCAATATTCTGAGTTTCCACATACAGTTTCCCATTTGCAAATGCTTAGTTTCTAACTGACTTCTATGGCATTTAGAGCTGTTGGTCATCAGAGCATCTACACACGAGTGAAGGAGGCAAAAGAATGTTTTGTTCATGAGCCAGGACATCTTGGTGTTTAGTGAGTGGGTTGACGGGAAGAGGTTATCCTTTATCACAAGAATGTGAGAAGCTGTTTTCCTATCCTAACTTGGCGTTCACTGCTCTCACTGGACATGTCCATCCACTGGTGTGTCCATGCACCCTTTAAGGTCCACCTCCAGGCTTCCTCCAGCCACCACAGCCAGCTGTTACCTGCTTTTCCTGCAGACCTTTCATGCCAGCCATTGGCTGCCTGAGATGCTGGGTATTCAGAGAGGAGGGACTGTGTTGTTGATTGTACTGTGCCATGCCTGGCCCAGCGTGTGTGGCAGGGCTGGGGAATTACTGCAGCCTCCCGAGACCCTCAGTGCGTGCACCCTTGGCTGAGGTTTAGAGATGATGATGGAAAAGTGAGTCTTTTCTTCTTTCTCTCTAGTTACAAGTTATTTCCTAACTGCGTCCCCTCCTTTGGGTTCCGCCATCTGCTGCCTCTCACAGACAAAGTCGACAGCTTCAATGAGGAAGTTCGGAAACAGAGGGTGTCCCGGAACCGCGATGCCCCCGAGGGGGGCTTTGACGCCGTGCTCCAGGCAGCTGTCTGCAAGGTAACTTCCCCTCTGGTCCCCTGCCTGCGTGGGGAGATTGGTGGAGCATGGACAGGGGTGTTGTATTTTTCTACAGGAGGTGGAAGATTCTGAGCTGCTGCAACTCATGGCTCCTGTACACGCTTACTTTAGAGTGTGAGCTCAGTGGCACCTTGGGGAAATCTACTGCAGCCAAGTGGCTGGGGCTGGAGTGGACTGGTGTATTTCTCTGGTATGGGTGTGGCTGTGTGCCGTGGGATACTGTCCTTGCTAGGAAACAGCTGTCTGTGTTTATCGTCATTTGGGTTGTTTTGTTTTGGTTTTTTGCTTCTTTCCAGGAGAAAAAAGTAAATGTCCAATCACATACATAGAAGCTTGGAGAGCTTTCTGCCCCAATTTTGGTAAACTTTAAAGATTTGTATTAGAAGAGTCCCACCATAAAAGAGAACTGTGTGATACATTTGGTTGCATTTCTGTTTGTGTGTTTGCTTGTTTTTCCTCCTACAAAAGAGTTTTGTAAACAGTCCCTCCTAAGCTCCCCACCACAGCTGATGGTTTTATCTTTCTAGTCTTTGTGCATGCGTTTGGTATCTTTCCTACTGCCTGTCCTCAAGTACATTTAATTATGGGGGTCCTCGAAGGTGTTCGCCAGTAGGGGGCTGGGGTGTGTAGACGATGCAGATGGACACAGTGTGGGGATTGCGTAGGGCCGCTGCTGCTCACTTACTGTATTTTGGTCACTTACTTGCCTGCTTCCAGTTTCCAAGCCCAGAGAGCTGGCACTCAGTGTGTCACATTCACTTTGCCTCTCCACTCAGGCCTTACCAGGATAAGAAGGGATCCACGGTTGTTTTGCCTGAGATAAGAAACCCAAAGTGGCAGACAGAGCTGTCTAGGGGGAAGAAAAGATAAACACAGCAGCAGGCCCCCTGGGTGGGGACAAGGCCCTGTGGATCTGCCAGTGCTGAGTCCCAGGGAGCTGCAGCTTGCAGGGGCTCCCTATCCTGGATGGCTGCTGGCCAGAAACACTCGGTCTGGTTCACAGTCCCTGATGTTTTTAGCTGTCTGCAAGCCAGATGGAACACAGCTAGAGTATGTTCATCTTTGAATCTTTCAAATGTGTCACAGAATAGTTCATGGATTTGATTTGGAAAGAAAAACTGTTATTTTTTGACCAGCATTCAGACACTGATTGCGGGAGACGTAGTCTTCTCAGTCAGCCAGCCAAAATCTTATCTTTTTGTCAGAGAACAAATAGCGCAGAGAAAACATAAGATCCACCTTGAGAATTGCATGTATTTTTCTCTTTCATGGGGATGAAATCATCTTTAAGACTCAGTGGGTGGGGAAGGACCCAATTTCAGATGATTCTAGCAGATTTCCTGAAGGCATCGGCCGAAGCTGGTGGGTTCTTGTTGCGTGCACTTGATTGAGCAGGCTGCAGCCTTACACCTGTTGGAGTTACTCTTGCCTATGCCACAGGAATACATAAAAAGTTAATGATTGCTTAGAAGTCTGAAGCCTATTGGCTGCCAGCATCTCTCACCACCCTTTTTCCTTCATGCTATCAGTTTATATTTAGTAATACGTCCTGCTCTTTCTCTCCTCACATGAAATCACCCACTTAGAATAAATGTTATCTTTCCTGGTTCACTACATCCTTACTCACTGTAGCCAATCATGGACTACCTTTTGCTGAGAGCTTATGCAGCAATCATATCATTAAAAACATTTTACTGATTTGAGTAATACCTAGAGCAAATTGGGAGGAGAGTGGAAAGCAGGAAATATTTCCTCCTTGGAAATAAGGAAAAGAAAAAATACTGAAAACACTGGAAATAAAACCAAAATGATAAAAGTAGTTGTCTCAGATGATAGAATTGTAGTGGTTTTTTTTTCTTGATGTTTTAAAATTTTATATTTATCCAAATTTCCATACTGGATATAATTTTTTTAAAATGTGGAATATTTCAAGCGTATAAATGTAGAGGGTAGTGAGATGAAAGCTAATGAACCCATTGTTTATCCTTAACGATTACTGTTTCCGGCTGATCTTGCTCACCTGCGTTCACAGTCACCCTATCCCTTACTATTTAAAGCAAATCCTGGGTATTTCTCCTTGAGTCCTGAGTCTTCCTTTTCTGTCGCCTCCTATTTGCCTGGATTAAAGACCCTTCCACTTAATGCTGCAAGGGAGACGGTGTGGGATCTTGCACATTTGACCTGGTGCCCCACAGGGCCTGGCATTGCCTGGACGCCCCCTCTCATTGTGTGCTCCCGTTTCTCCTGCCCTGGGTCTGTGGAGAGGGAGCTGCCAGCAGGCCTGTCCCACAGTGCCGTAGGGAGCTCTTTGTTCTGGTTTTGTTCTCAGGTTTTTCTCCGTTGGACTTTGCTATCCACTTGTAGGATTAGGGTTATGGAAGACAGACATGACTCACTTTAAATCCCACCTCTGCAAACCCTCTGTATTTCTTGGAAAGCTATTCTTTGCAAAAAGAAGGAAACTACCAGTCCCTGTTAGGAGAAGGTCCCTGCTTCTATAAGTGGTAGTTTTGAGTTGCTTTGTTTCTCCCCAGCAGGTCACTGCTGTGAGGAGTGGTTTAACCCCATGCACAGCTCAGGGATGCCGCTCACTCATACAGGTGTTTTCTCCAATACATCTTTTCTGGCTGCACTGGAAGTGGAATGCCCTATCCTTATTTTTTTTTTTTTTTTTTTTTTTTTTATCTTTGCCAAGGAATCTGTGACTGAGCCTGTTTATACTTTTTCTTGGTCAGAATAATGATTTCTCCTATTGCATTTTTTTTTCTTTTTTTTGGTACTGGGGATCAAACTCATGACCTTGCGCTTATCAGGCAGGTGCTTATGCCACTGAGCTAAATCCCCAGTATGATTTCTCCTATTACCAGTTGTCCTGCTCCCCAGGACGTTCTAGAAGTTGACTGTTGTTTGTTCTGAAATGGTGCACGTTAGAAGTGTGACAAGCGTTCAGGCTGGAATTATGGCTGCTTTCCTGTTCTCCCCAAATAGGAAGTGCCCTTGGTCTCCAGAGGACAGTGCCAAGGAGCTGTGGGTTCCAAGTGGCTGATCACACTTAACTATTTTCAGGCTTTTGGGTTAAAGAATTTCCTTGCATAGATTATACAGAGACCATTGTTCATTTTCTGTTAGTCGATTCTAAATACTCTATAATGCTGTCATTCTCTTAAATGGTTTTACATTGTTTTGATATACTTAATGCTACAGTATATGAAGTTGTACTCAAGGACTTCAGGGAGGGAGTCAATATGGTAACTATTTTTGGGTCAGGATTATCTGGTGGTGAAACACTATTCTGCTTAAATGGTTATGTTTTGATCTGCCCTGTTTCGCTGTTATGCCCTCTTTTTTCTCAATCTCCACTCCATTATTTACTTTTTTATTTTTATCCATTTAATTAAAGGGAAAAATATAGCAGGATATAATATAGTAACCCACTTTGACTTTCTATTATCTCGATTTGAAGCCCTGTATTACTCTCACCATCTTGTTTTTGACTGAGGTTCCTCTATTCTGTTTTGCTGGATAGTATCAGGTTCGAAAGTTTAGGCATCAGCTGAGAAGATAATGAGATTCATTATAACGCCCATTCTCGTTGACTTTTATCTACTTTTGAAGACCTACAATATCTCCAATGTTTTGGTTTTGTCGGTTTTATTCTTTACGGTTTTGTTCAATTGTATAACAACTAATGATATAGGCAATTCTATTAGAAATAGCGGGAGGCATTATGGTAACCATTGTTGATCACCTTGTATTATGTTTTTATATTATCTATTATGTCCACCCTTTTGACTTGACCGATTCTGTTCTGTTATGTCACATTTGGTTTTACTCTCTTCCAAAAAAGCAATAAGAACCGTGGGAGCAATGAAACCCAAAATGTGTAATAGTCATTGTACAAAAGAGAGGAAAAGAAAGTGCTCTAAACTATATAACTGCATGTATATTTAAATGTATAAGATAGAAAATGATATCACAGAGTTTTATTGGATCATTGAACAGAACTGTTTGCAGTATCATTGTTGGAATGTCCACTCTACAAGTTTTAATTTTGTGACTTGAACAATTATTTCTAAGATGGCAATATGTAATCCATTAACTAGTGATTGCCTACTGCGCATTTTTTTCTCCTGTAAATCTGTATAATTTGTACCCCTTCACTGTTTTTTTTTTCTTTCTTTTCTTTTCTCCTTAAATTAAAAAAAAAAAAAAAAAAAAAAAAAGAATTTCCTTGCTCATCTGAGTTTGGCTGGGTACATTCTGGCTGCACAGGATTCTATGGGCTACTTTCTGCTGTCAGCCAGAAAAACAAGACCTATGCAACTCAGTAGAGTTCCTTGTTTGTGTTTGCTTCTTGTGCCCAGCATTTAACTTCCGATCATTTAGAGGTTAAACATAGCCTCTGTTTTAAGCCTGATTCTTGAATTTTACAGTGCACTGAGTGTTAAATTTTTAAAGCATTTCTATCCTCTCAAAAATAGATGGATATATGTAATCTTAATGCAAACAAAGTTGCTTTGTTTAAATAAAACTTCTTGGTGTGCCCTGAGTCCTGCATTCCTTTGCCATTGAGAACATCCTAATCTGCAGTCAAGACCACAGCTCCAGTGGGGCTGGGGAGTGCGGAGGAACTGCTTCATACTGCAGGACTTTCTGCAGGAACAGATTCTGTGGGTCTGTAAAAGCCACAGTACCCACTGTCCTTGCTCGACCATCATCCACATGCCAGATAGTTTGTATGCATAATTTTGGTTCTTGTAAGAGTCCTAAAGTGTGTTGGTGCTGATTTCCAAGTGAGGAAGCGGATTATCCGAGGAATTAATTTCCCTTGTCCTTTGTGAGGAGCAGGACCAGGGTTTGAACCAAGTCTGACTGGTTCTAAAGCCTGTTTTCTTTCTGTTTCTTGGTGTCTGGGCACTTTGGGAAGCAGATGCAGTGCAGTGTAGGGCCAAGGGCACTGGATTTAGGGTCACACTGGC